TCAAATACCTTCCAATAATTTAATAAGTGGAAGGTATAGAGATTTTTCGGGGGCCCAGGGAAAAACTATATATGAACGAGAAGAGCAGCAGTTTGTCAGTAGTTGTTCAGATCAGCGCGAGTTCTGAGTATTGAGATATCTCCGTGCTAGATTCGCTCTTTGGGTGCGATATGCATTGCGTTGTGTTTAACGTTCTTGGTAGTTTGAAGTTTAACTACTGACTGTACTCTTGTGATTAATGATTCCAGTTGTACACTTGATACTGTGAAGAGCTATACGAGTATTTTTGTGGAATATTCCAAAACTGTGAACTGTTTCTTTTGGTAACATAAATTTTATCCAGCTGTCATTGGTTTCCGCGTGCATTCGATCTTTTACGAGCCCATACGCACGCAACAATACGAAATGGGCATATATTTCTGAATATGGATGGAAAGAATTTACATTAAGCTAAGTATCATAGGTTCAAAATATCTCGGCGTTAATCTTGAGAAAGAGTGTCGGAGAGCATCTGTTTAAAACGGAATGCTTGCTTTTGAAATGGCTATTCTTTGTTAATTGAAAACATCGGATTATACCTTTTAATCAGTCTTCTCGTAATTACTATGTCTGTATTTGTTGACAGCTTAGTGTCAGGGGCATCATTAACCTGCTTAACTGTGACCATATTCGAGACTAAATGGAATTGTTTACGGAAGCAGTGCACATATATAGCGCAGAGATGACGGCGAATTAATAGATAAATTGGCAAGTCGATAAGATATCATGCTGTAAAACTTTAACTCTTGCACAATGCTCTGTTCTAAACGTTTGCGTGCTGTCTGCAGTTCTCTGTTGTCAGATCCTGAAACCTTTTAGATTGTTGTGACAGCCATCGAAATCGGATTCGGCTTCTTAAAGAGTATTGACTTCTCAACGATTGTCAATTAGGTGAGAGTCGAACGACCTAAAAAGTAAATAAAATTAATTAGAAGATTGATAAATAAGCTTTTAGATGATCAAACTAACAATTAGACCGCAAACAACACTGAAGCATTTTTTTCAACTGTTTTAAAAATCTAATAACCTTTCAGCCCAAAGGGCGTTAGCACAGAAGCACTTTTAATTTCGTTTTGGCATTTTGCGTTGAAAAATTTAAATGTCTGTTCACTTTCAAATTGTTGCCACCAAATATTAGAGCCTTGTGTTATATTTAAAGAAATTAAATAATGAAGAATTGCATCAATGTATGTATGCTTCTCGCATTGTGATAAAACAACGGCACTTAGAGCCATCGAATTTTGAATAACGTAATCTTCCACCGAACATGGGTATCTGGAAGCCCGAATTTGGTATTTGTTTTATTATCGATTTCATATTTTGTAACTTTTTGACAATTTTTTGATTAACGAGCTCAATGATGTCAAAGAGAGCAATGGCAACACTGTGCGGAAAAAAAAAAGAAAAAATACTATCTCCAGCGCGCGAGACTGCGTCGAATCACTCCGAATGCCCGTTTCACTTTTCAAACTGTTGCCACCAAATGTTAGATTCTTGCATTATATTTGATGAAATTAAATAATGAAAAAACTGCATAAATGTATGTAACCTTTCTCGCATTGGGATGAAACAACTGTACCTAGAGCCATCCAATTTTGAATGACGTAATCCTTCTGCGAATATGGGCATCTGGAAGCCCAAATTAGAAATTCGGAATTTGTTTTATGATCGATTTCAAATTTTGTAAAACTTTAAAGGGTTTTTTATTAACAAACTCAAGGATTTCAAAGCGAGCCATGGCAGCACTGTACGAAAATTCTATACGCTAAGTACGCTATACATTCACAAACATAAGTACGCTATACATTCACAAACATCCATGCCATCTCCAGGATTCGAACGCGGACTCTTCAGCACAGCAGTCACTAACTACTATACCTCTCGAGTCCTGGATATAAAAGTTCTCTGGTGAATGATATAAAGAATTTATATATGCGTTTACGGGGTGTTCATAATATAAAGTTTCATTGAATGGAAGCACATGAAGGACATGAGGGGAACGAGAGGGCATGTGCCTTGGCAAAATCTGCTGTCACAGATGAAAATGTTACTATGGAATATGTTCCAGATTCTAAGAAGAAGTCCATTTCAGTATTATATAATGAGATTATATAAAAATGGAGACTTGGCTGGGGGTCGTCTGAAAAAAATCAGGGATTATTAAAAAGTATTTACATAGGAAAGAAAATGGAAATTTATAAGGATATAGATGTTAACCAAATTATGACAGGCCACGGACGATTCCCAGCCTATGCACTACAGGATAGTAATTTGTGTAAAATTTGCAATGTGACTGGAGATGCACATTTTTTTTAGAACTGCCTGATTACTGGGAGCGCAAGGGAGGAATACAAGCAGTATTATTGTAGTGATTTTAAAAAGAATTACAAGAACTTTGTGAACTATAGTAGGAATATCATGAAGATAGTAAATACAACAAAAGAGGCCATAGGAATTTATGTATGAGTGATGTATATGTGATATTTGTGTGAGTGTTATTTGTTTTATGTGTCGTTTTATCCTCAGTTGGTAACCTTTTTATTTACTATTTTATTATGTTCGTTAGTATAAATGTCACAGGTTCAGTGATAAGATGAAATTCGCTGGTCCTATTTATTATTTAGTGTACATTTTACTAACATTTTTTGTTACTCGGTTCCCGAAGTTGTTGGTTTTCCGGGACTTGTAGTATAAATTTAAATTTAGATGCTTCTTTTTGTAATCTTGATTTTAGCACGGGTGGATCGCTGGTTCCTCGTTTGTTGTTAGATGGGCTAGCTCCCTTTAAAAGTCACATGACCAAGTTCATCTTGGTTAGGAGGGCTGGGGGCTGTGCCCCATACTTTTACCACTTAGGCGGCAAAATTAACTTTTTGGTGTGGCAGCAGATTTCATTCGCGGACTATTCGTTTTTGAGAACATTACACTATAAGGTATCTTGTACCTCCTTTCAAAATGTCTTCGTGGGGTAACGGTAGCTCACTCGACTCGTATTAGAGAGCTCCAGGTTCGGGTCCTGGCCAGGACATTGCTCATTTTTCGTGTTTCATACTTTAAAAATCCTAATGACTCTACAGCATTAACAGGATCGCACTCCTTTCCCGTTACCTCGCAAAGGTATCATGATTTTCTGAGTAGTTTAGTTTTGTTATTTTGCAACTTCAGCAGAGATACTATCAAGTTAACCTGCACGTGCATGATGGAGCACTACCACTTATTGGTCTATCGACACAGCGACAGTTGCGCCAGCACTTCACAGAAGAAAGGATCATTAAGTCGCTTCAATTCCACTTGCATCGCCGCCGCCCCCCCCCCCCGGATATAACCCTATGTCTTTTTTTTTTTTTTTTTTTTTTTTTTTTTTTTTTTTTTTTTTTTTTTCCCGGTGGAATTATTTGAAGATCACTCTCTGTCTTAGTGGAGTTCCGATCTCGACGATCCTAATTCCTTATGTCCCAAGTTACTTTATATTTTGAAAAAGAGTTTGCAAATTTTTTTTTATAGTTCTTTACGCATGAGAAACATCTTGCGTTAAACATACAAAAATGCTAAAAGTTTTCCACTTCTTTTTGGTTAAAATGGGGGCTTAAAAGTCCAGTTGGGACACAACTGAGCAATTTATTGATAGGATGGTAGGGAAATAAAGGGTCCCATCAATAATTATCCAATCACGAGCTGTGTTGTCCCATGCGCTCTCCGACAAAGCGCTTTTATTGAATAAAGTGTTATGATGCACCGAAATATCATCTCTGTAACCCGCCGGACATTGCATTTGCTGCGTTAAAGCGGTGTTGCACTTAAATTTCTTCTTTGCTATTGATGTATGTAGTTCTCAGCTGTTTAGACTGTAGCAGCGTCATATTTCTCCTACCGGCAATTTTTGGAACTAATTTCTATTCACGGAATCGTTTTTTCTGTGTAATCATTAGCCCCCCCACTGCCAAATTTGGTGGCATTCCAGCTGATAGATCGAGCTACAGATAGCTCTGAGCAGTATCAGTTTAAAAAAACATTATATTTATTATATATATTGTTACGAAATGTCCAGGTGCTGTAAAATAGCTTCCCCGCAAAGCAGGTTTAGGGTTGCCATAAAATGGCAAAGGAAGGCAAGGTTGTCACATCTGGCGAGAAATCCCGTTTCGCGACAAAATTGGCGATATGCCATAGATGGATGGAGAACCTTCTGGAACGAATTCTTACCGGTTTAGCCCACAATGTTCTCGAATACAAGCGAAAAGCAACATAAACCCTGCTGGTACGCGGACAGTCAGTTAGTCCGCGCAGAGTCCAATGAGTTGATAGGTAGTCAGCGAAAGCCGAGTGGGTCGTCGAGTTCACCGAAGGAGTCTCTTGGTGTATCGCGGTTAGTGCATCGTCGAGAGAGTGGGTTGAGTTCCGGGAACGACTGAACCGAAGAGTCGGGAGTTGTGCTCTGTGTGTCGTTGAGTTCATCGCGAGTTGTATTGTGGAGAGTCTCGAGAGTACGTGGAGTTCCGAAAACGACCGAGCAGAGTCGGGAGCTGTACTCCGGTGCTTTGGCTTTGCCGTGAAGCTGTCTTCACCGTGATAGCCTGAAGGCTGTGTCGCTGATTGTTCCAGCGTGTTTATAGTAGATCTTCGACGACTGTGAAACGTGAATTTAGAGCTGTTCTGAAAATACTGGCCGGTAAAATGTGTTTTGATACTTCATCAAGTGCTGTTGTTATTATTCACTCCAAATCAGCCCGAACCCCGTAACGTACGAACGTAAAGAAAGAGAAAATTACTTAGGTAAAAAGTATATGATGTGCCGAAACGAAGGTTTTCTTTCGAGATTATGTTTCAGATTTTAAAAATTATTTTATAGTAGTTACTTTCAAGAAGAGAATATTTTAGGAATGCATATAAGTGTCCTTTGATGTGTTTTCCTAAGTAATAACCGCTAGAGATGCATTTAATGTCCTTTAATTTCATTTCAGACCATCCCTGAAGGCCAAGCCTGCTTTATGTCAACAGGAAATGGAGACTGAAAGTACGAGTTCTGAAAATATTTCTCCTAAAATTGAAATTTCAATCAAGAGTGGGAATGACAATTGTGTAATAGACGCTGCTCCGAAAGAAAATGCCGTCGGCCAAAGAGTCATCTCTCCCGTGAACAATCGTGTGGACACCATCAAGAAGGATGAGGCCACAAATGAAGTCACTTTTCCAGAAAAATCTTCAGAAACCAGCTTCTGGAGCCCTCTTTCTCCTGAAGACTCTGTTAGATCAAATCTGCAGCAGTCTCCAGAAACGCAACCAACAGACGGGGTGTCCTCACAGCAACGGCCCATTGAAGATATTCTCCAAGCTCTGGATCAGCTCGTGCTCTCGGCTCCTCGTGAGGTCGAAATCAGCATCGATTGGGGCACCCGGGGCCACGTCAACATCCGAGAGAAAGCTGTTGTCCCCTCGACTGCTTCCGGCAACGGAAGTACGCCCTGCGAGATGGACGGACTCAGCGACGATCGGCGACGCTGCATCGAAGATCTCCTGAAGGAAGTGGACGAGTGTCTGCGCATGCAAAAAGGTAGGATAAGATCATTTTAAGGTATTGTTTCAAACTGTTATCAGCATAGCTTTACAGTGCCCTTTCTTCAAGATATAAAGAGCTTTTAGTTTTTATTGCATATTATAGGTCGACAGACCTTTGATTTGCATCTAATGAGTCTTTCTGCTCCTTTGACGGGGTGAGTTATCTCAGCAGTTAACTTTGCTATGTTCTGCAATCCTTAAACTGCAACTGGTGTGAAATTAATTATCTACACATCCCCTGTGATTTCTCTTAAGGTTCTGTTTTCATAAAACTTTCTTCTAAAGGAAAAAAAAAAAAAAAAAACTTTTACAAAATAATAATTAATCATTTTCTCACTGCAAATAAGAAAATGAAAGTTACTTATACTGGCCTAGCATAAATGATTCATTCATTATGAAAAAGGCTATATTTTCAAAAGTATTACTGTTGCGTTTTTCTTTTCTGCTTCTGACACCAGTTGTTACGTTATTTTCTTCCTTCACGTTCGTACGGGGTTTGTAGTTTTGGAGTGAATAACGACGACACCGCATGAAGTATCGAAACACACTTTATTTACCAATATTGTCAGGACAGCTCCAAAACACATTTTACAGTCGTCGTGAACTACTATAAACACGCTGGAACAATCAGCGAGACAACTTTCACACTGTCAGGCTATAACGGTGGAGACAGCTTCACTGCAAAGCACCAGAGTACAGCTCCTGACTCTGCTTCGTCGTTCTCGGAACTCCACGTACTCTCGAGACTCTCCACGCTACAACTCTCGATGCACTCGAAGATACACGAGCACAGCTCCCGATTCTTCGGTTCAGTCGTTCCCGGAGCTCAGCACGCTCTCTCGACGATGCACTAACCGCGATACACTAACAGACTCCTTAGGTGCATTCGACGACCCACTCGGCGCCCGGCTGTTAACTTCATCGACTTCGCACGGGTCGCTAGACGAGGCACACTCTCTGAGACATACTGACTCCGGACCGGCAGGATTATATTGCTTTCGGCTCTTGTTCGAGAACATTCAGGACTAAACCGGTAAGAATTCGTTCCAGAAGGTTCTCCATCCGTCCATGGGATATCGCCAATTTTGTCGCCAAATATGGCCACCCTGCCTTCCCTTGCCATTTTATGGCAACCCTAAAACTGCTTTGCGGGGAAGCTATCTCACCGCGCTTGTACTGTAAGGATCTTAAGTTTTACTAACGTTTATTTTTATTTTAAATCTTTACTATCTTTCTTTTATTTTTCTACTTCCGGCCAGAATTAAAAGCTTTAACTTATTTATGCAAATTTGTCTGGCGAACGCCAAGTACTTAAGTTGTGGCTTTTTGCCAAGCAAAGAGAGGAAGGAGTTAGTCGAAGCAGGCCGCTTGCCTTAGCAGTTTTACTCGGTTGCTGGTTGCCTTCCAGGCCAGAGGTTTAATCCTCTTATTAATTTTAAACGTATCGTAGTGTTAACAGTTCTCTGTACTACATACGGCTTCCTGTTAATATACGGCCAATCTTCCACGTAGGCCCTTGTTTATTATTCCAAAGTTTAGTTAATATTTTTATATTCTTACGTTCAGACCACAAGTGGTTGGTCTCTGTATTCCGAAGTCCGGAAATCATTGTAAAGAGTGAATAATAAAGGGTTTCGTATACCCTTTCTGTGTGTCTTGTCTACTTCCCACATTTATTGAACATAGCTTTAGTAAGCTCCCTGTTCCGAGTCAGGTCTTTGAATGTTCCCAAAGCAAGTAAGGCGGAACATTGAACCTGATAGTACATTTCGTAACATTAAGAATTACACATGACGAATTGATGAAAAGAGCCGCAAATTCACCAAGTGTTTTCACTATTTCATCAAGTTTTCCGGATAAGTGGAACGTTGTTTCATCGCTGAATATCATCTTGGTGGAGATATCGTCGTCGTCCAATGTTCACTCAAAAATCCACTCGACGGGCGTAATCCTCCGACTTTAATTGATGCAGGAGTTACACAGGGTACGGTTTAAAATGCAATTAAACTCGGCCGCACAACAGCCCTTAGACAGCCTGCAGTGCCCTGAAATCTGCTTTCTAGACCATGGGCTCCGGGATGCTTGTACATCTTTGCCTGGACAAGTGGTCAGCTTGTCGCAGGATCCCCAGTTTTTAGTCCTCAAGTGAACTTGGTACTCATTTTATCGACTCACACAAGGGATGAAAGACTAAGTGAACCTTGCCCAGCTCGAGGATCGAACCCCGGACCTATGGCTTGAAATGCAGCTGTTGACGCAAAATCTTCCACACAGTTTTTTGTGGTATTCCGAACATATGTTCAATTGACAAGACGAACTTCTGGACGACAATGCTACGAAATGGATGAAATGAGCTCGATTATCGTCTGGACGTGTTTCATATCATTAAAGGGACACATACCGAATATTTGTAGAGGGTGTATAAACTTGGTGAGTTTGTAGTTCTTTTCATATATCTTTCATGTGTGTACGTAATATTGTTTAAAAGCCTTTCAGAATGCGTACTATTTGCATAAAAGCAATGCCCCATTTATGTTTGCCAATAATAATAATAATTAAATAAAGAAGGATATTCTGCTACGAGTGGTATCTGGGTAGTACAAAAGATAGAATCCGGCTGTAGTTTTGGCTCTTAAATTTCAACTTTATCTTTGCATATTCCTTTGCCAATTGAAATGATTATATAAATTGCTCGCTTAAGTGGCCTTTCAAAAAAAAAAAAAAGCGTATCCCTAAACGTGTTAATCTATCATCGTATCCATTATCGTTCAAGGCCTTTCTTGGACTGCTTTGTGGTTTGTGAAGTTCCACACTCTAATGCATTGCAGTGACAGACAAGTAATCAGATAGTCTGTTTCGCCCTGAGACCCAAGCACCCCTATAACACAGCCGGATGTTCCACTGTTTCCAGAGTCGTGCCATAATAGATAACGAATCAAGTAGGAAAAAAAAAAAAAAAAAAGATACATTAATATTTGGATTTATAAGCTGGTCTGAAAATGATACCGATGAAATGAACGGCACGGGCAGTTTTGTGACGATCTTCATCTTCAACGTCCTGTTTGTTTGAAAGGGACTTTTCCAAAATACATACCTGTCCAACTCACGACTTGACCTCTGTCGGGAAAAAGGGGCGCCATCCCTTATTTCCTCATTCGTTCTCTCGATACCGAATCGTGACATCTTTAGAGAAGCGGTATCCATCCTTTTCCAGAGAATGTGCCGATGCCATTATTGTTTGCGCGCCCGGAGAGATGTGCCGGGCGGGGCGGTACCACTTGGGGTAGGGACGAAGGAGGAGATGTGACCGGTCGGAAAGAGTGGGCAGAAAATGGAATGCCGGCAAGCTCAACGGCATCTCGGAATTTTACCTTGGAAAGGTCGTCTGTCGGGAGAACGCCCACCGAAAGGGGAACCGTCTGCCTATTGAAACCTGCTTTCTTTCAGTTTGCTTCCATTTTCAACAATTACTCCTTATTTTAATTCATAGATCGGTTCTTCATTTAATTCATAGGTCGGAATGCATTCTTCTCTGGAAACAAGGAATAAGAAATAAATAAAATCAATAAAAAAAAAAAAAAATAAATAAATAAAGAAAAAAAAAAAAAAAAATAAAAATAAAAAATAAAAAAAAACAAAATAAAAAAAGAAAAAGAAAATAAAAAATAAAAAATAAAAAAGAACAAAAATAAATAAAGAAAATAAAAAAAGAAAAAATAACAAAAATATAAATGAAAAATAAAGAAAAATAAAAATAAAAATAAATAATAATAAAAAATAACAAAATAAAATAAATAAATAAATAAATAAATAAATATAAATATAAATAAATAAAAAATAGAAAAAAATAAAAATACTAAAAAAACAAAAAAATAAATAATAAATAAAAATAAAAATAAAAATAACAAAAAAATAAAAATAAAAATAAATATAATAAAAAAATAAAAATAGAAAATAAATAAATAATAAAAAATAACAAAAAATAAATAAAAATAAATAAAATACTAAATAAAAAAATTGAAAGGCTTCAGATTTTAAATTACGTCCAAAGGGTCGTTGTTTTATAACATCTTATGTGTTACCCTTTAATTATTAAATATCATGTTCTTCGCCCTTAAAACATAAAATTCAGTTCAAGAGCAATATCGCAAAATAATTTTTAAATGAGAATATCTTTAGAATTCCCGATGCACAGTCTCGCGTGCTGCAGATAAAAATATTTTTTTTCTGTACAACGTTGCCGTTGCCAGCTTGGAAATCGTTGAGTTTGTCAATCAAAAATTCGTTAACGTTTTCGATAATAAAACAAATTCCAAATTGGGGCTTCCAGATGCCCATATTCGTAGTAGGATTACGACATTCAAAATTCGATGCCTCTAGGTATCGTTGCTTAATCACAAAGCGAGAAATTTTTAATTAATATTTGAATTTGCGTTTGTATTTTAAATTAATATTTGAATTCACGGAGAAAATCAAAATCGTTACAAAAATGTATGAATTTATATTTAGTGTTTTTATTATTAGTATTATTAGTCCAAAGGGATTTCAGTCCCGAAGGACTATTGCTTTCGTTTTGGCATTTTGCGTCGGACTCATAAACGTCGGTTCACTTTTCAAACTGTTGCCACAAAATGTTAGAGTCCTGCATTATATTTGAAGAAATTAAATAATGAAAAATCTGCATAAATGATTGTCTATTTCTCGCATTGTGATAAAACAATGGTACATAGAGCCATCGAATTTTGAATGACGAAATCCTACTGCGAATATGGGCATCTGAAATCCCAAATTTGGAATTTGTTTTATTATAGATTTTTATATTTTGTAAAACTTTAACGAATTTTTGATTTACAAACTCAATGCTTTAAAAAGCGAGAAATGGCAACGTTATATAAAAAAAAAAATACTTTTATCTCCAGCTCGCGAGACTGTGTATATCGGAAATTCTAAAGATATGCTTAATTTAACATTATTTTGCGATATTGCTCTTGAACTGAATTTATGGTTTAAGTGCAAAGAACATGATATTTAATAAATAAAGGTAACACTCAAAACGTTTAAAAAAACGCCCCTTTGGACGTAATTTAAAATCTGAAAAATTTCAGTTTTTTTT